GACTTGTGTGTAAGTCAAAGGGATAGAGGAGGCGGTCTAGGGAGGAAATGTTAAGAGGAAAGAACAGAAGGCCAAGGGCAGAGCCCTCAGGGCACTGACACTGAGTTGTTGAAAAGAGATGGGGCCAGAAAAGACATCTAAATTTTGAGTGCATTAGGAGGAAACCAGGCCATGAGGTGATCTTGCAACCAAGACAAGAACATATTCTTAGAAGAAGTTCAGCTGTGTCGAAGGCAGAGGTTCAGAGGAAGACAGAGAAGTGGCTGCTGCATTAGGCAAAGTGGAAGCCATCTGTGGCTTTGACAGGAAGGGAGGTTGAGGTTGGTGGGGTAGGAGCTATCCTTGGAGTGAGTTGAGGAGATGGTCTGTGTTCTCATGGAGACTGCAGGGTTGTGGGCTCTTGGTTGTGCCCTGAATCTAAAGGCCAGGTCCAAGAGAGTCATTGCCAAAGGCTACATTCACACAGAAGGAAGCTGAGCTCCACAAGTTGGAGCAATTGGCCTGGCAGGAAAAGCGCATACTGGGCAGACTAGGGCCACCCTTAATGGCTCAAAACCACTGTGCTAAGAAACACACATAAAATGAATCATCTTAACCTTTATGAAGTGTCCCGTGTAATAGTGTCAGGTGTATGCATGCAGTCATGCAGTGGGCTCCAGGCCATTTTTCATCCTGTAAAAGTGAAACTCTCCATTAAACCACAGCTCCCGATCCCCTCCTGCCCCAGACCGTGGCGACCATGCAACTTTCAGTGTCTATGCACTTGACTACGTGAGTGTCAAGTGCGTAGGGAAGTTTTCCGCTTATTTCAGAGGGCTGAAGTCAAATCCCCAAGAGTTAGGGGTGTGAAGGAGCCTGGAGAAGCCCAGGGAAGCCCAGTGCTAAACCAGCTCACCAAGCGCATGGGCTGCCTTCCCAGCTCCCTGTAGCCTGGGTTGTGAGCTCAGGAGCGGTCAGGACCGGCTGAGGGAGGAGTAAGAATCAGCGCCTCTCGGAGAGCAAGTGAGATGCACCAGCAAGTGGCCATGATGCCGGGAAAGTCTCAGCGGAGAGAGCTCCACTTAGATGCCTCTCCTCTGAAGCAAAGACTAAAGGGCCAAAGAAGAGTCCAAGTCCAAACAAGGGTTTGGACACACGCTGCTGTGAAGCCAGATGTTGCTGCGGCCTGATGAGACAGGCGGAGGCAAACCTGCTGCCCTGGGAGCAGCGCTTGGTTCCAGCAGCAGGCACCTGGGGGCCGGGCTGCACAGCCCTTTGAAAGAGAGCCGGCGTCCAGGGCACGCAGGTCATCTTCCAGGAGGCTGAAGCCCACCAGAAGTGAAGATGCCAAAGGTTGCAGCTGAAATCTCCATCCTGGAGCAATGCCCTGGACCACCCAGTCTAAGTCCCTCAGTTACTTCCTCTGAAATCTGCATGAGACTCAGGAGGGTTCATTCATTCATTCATTGTGCTCACACAGCAAGGTGTGTGTTTTAGCTTCCACATCAACCACTAATGGTATTTGTAGCCTGCATTTTATTTTAATTCCCAGTAATTGACCCGGGAGGCAGGGTCCCCCAATTCTCATGCAATCCTGCCCTTGACCATCTGTGTGACCCTGGCCAACTTACCCAACTTCTTCGAGTCTCTGTAGTAGATTTATGGGGAGAATAAGTAATTAAATCACACCACAGAATGGTTTTATTAAAGGAAGCCATATATGTAAAGTTAATTGTAAATCATTACCAATAGGTTATTAGGTTTCATTTTTGTACTACAAACTACATTTGATCAAATTATGCATAAAGTCTTGCCAGTGCCATCCCACTGCCCTGTAATAAAATTCAGCCTCCTTAGCTTGTCCTCAGAGAGCCTGAGATTTGGCCCCTGCCTAATTCTGACCTCATTTCTTATCTTCTGTACACAGACTCTTGCCACCAGGGACTCCTTTCTGTCCCATAAGCATTCAATGCTGCTCCCATCTCTGCCCTTTTGCACCTGCCCTCCTCCTGCCTGGATCGCTCGTCACGTGGCTCAATCCTTTTCCTCACTCTGGTCCTATCCCAAATATAATTTTATAATATCGGTCACCCTCTCAACTCTTATCCCCAGACCAGCTGACAGACTGTACTGCAGTGACCAAAAGGGACAGGACAGCTAGAGTCATGTCTTATAGTCACTTCTGTGTTTCTCACCTAGAACAGTGTGGGGTTTGTAGGAGGAGATGGATAAATATTCATCAGCCAATTACTAGCGGGGAAATTCTCCTGATTAGATTTTAAGTGGGCTCACACCCATGGGAACAAAATAAATATCACAATTTTAATGACTTTATATTACAAGGAATCTGGTTTCTCAGCCTTTCCCTATGTGTGTGCATTTTAAGCCAACACTGCATTATACTGAACTTGTTATTTTGTGCTACTTTTTCCCTTCAATGTCACTGAATGTTTCTTCCACAGCGTCATTTTCAACGACGAAGTGTAGATGTGACATAGTTTACTTAGCCAGTTCCCTGTGGCACACATGATGAGGGATACTGAGTTAAAGAATTGTTGCTAAAAACCCCAAACTTCCCTCAAGAAAGGCTGTGCCAATTTACGTGCCTACAAACAATGTGAAAAGGTCTCCATTTTCCTGAACCCCTGCCAAAACCAAATTTTTAACATTAATAAAACAAATTGTTCACCAGTTTGATGAGTGGAAAGGGATCTCATTGTTGCTTTATTTTTTATTTGTTTACTTGTGAATTTAAGTGTTCTTCATTTGCTTCTGTATAGCATTGTGTTAAATAAAAGATTTTATTTATATATTTGAAAAGCAAAGTGACAAAGCAAGAAATAAACACAGCAAGAGAACAGAAAGAGAGAGAGAAAGAGAGAGAGAGATGCATCTTCTGTCCACCGGTTCACTCCCCAAAAGGCCAAAAGGCCAGAGTAAATAGGTTTGGGCCAGCCCAAAGCCAGGAGCCAGAGACTCCATCCAGGTCTCCCACATGAGTGGCAGGGACCCAAGCACTTGGGCCGTCTTCCACTGCCTTCCCAGGCACGTTAGCAGCCAGCTGGATTAGAAGCAGAGCAGCCAGGACTCAAACTGGCTCTCTGATCCGATGGGCCAGCATTGTAGGAGGCAGCTTAAGCTCCTGAACCACAATACCAGCGTCTCTTTGTATTTCTTACCTTATAAATCATCTTTTCCATTTTTTTTTTTTGGATTTTTGTTTTTTATTTTTTTTTGGTTGTTGGTTTTTTATGTGGTATTCATCTTTCATTGATTTGCAAGAGCTCTTATATTAAGGCGACTTAAATTTGTCATAAATCGCAAACATGTTCTCAATATGTTGATTGGCTTTGACTTTTGCCTTTGGACTTGGGGAACTAAAAATCCCCACCAGGCTCATGTCCTGGGAGCTAATTCAGCCAGAAGAAAAGGTTCGCCTCAGCGACATCTCAGTCCCAGTTTAGCAGGCCTGGAGCCAGCTAGGATGTCCAATGTGTCAAAATAACTTGGAGCCTAAGACTCCCGGGGGACCAGCTGCTAGTTCCTCTTCTTGTGAACTTAACAAGCAGTCCCTACCTCTGACTCGAGACTTAAATTTTAATCAGAAACCTTTAAAGAGCCAAAGAAATAAACTTATAATGAGGAAGTAACAGACACTGGGAATTTTTACAACTTTAAAAATTATTGTATTCACTTTTTTAAAAATATTTTATTTATTTTACTTGAAAGTCGGAGTTACACAGAGAGAGAGAAGGAGAGGCAGAGAGAGAGAAAGATGTCTTCCATCCGCTGGTTCACTCCCCAGATGGCCGCAATGGCTGAAGCTGCGACAATCCAAAGCCAGGAGCCAGGAGCTTCTTCCAGGTCTCCCATATGGGTGCAGGGGCCCAAGGACGTGGGCCATCTTCAACTGCTTTCCCAGGCCACAGCAGAGAGCTGGATGGGAAGAGGAGCAACCGAGAGTAGAACCGGCACCCATATGGGATGCCGATGCTTCAGGCCAGGCCTTTAACCTTCTGTGCCACAGTGCCGGCCCTATGTATTTGCTTTTTTCCCCAAAAGGCAATCTTCAACGTTCTTTTTTTTTTTTTTAAAGAGATTTATTTTATTTATTTGGAAGGCAGAGTGACAGTGAGAGAGGAGAGAGCAAGAAAGAAAGAAGGAGAGAGAGTCCATCGGCTGGTTCACTCCCAAAATGACCACAAAGGCTGGGACCTGGAACTCCATCAGGGTCTCCTGCATGGATGGCAGGGACTGAAGCACTTGGGCCACCTTCTGCTGCTTTCTCAGGCACATTAGCAGGGAGCTGGATGGGAAGTGGAGCAGCCAGGACTTGAACCCGTGCCCATATGGGATGCTAACATCACAGGTGGAAGCTTAACCCTCTGTGCCACAACAGAGACCCCAACAATCTTCTGCTTTCTCATAAGCACAGTGTACAATAGTGACAAGAACTGCGGAGAGAGGCAGTATGTGTGTGTGCATGTGTGTGTGTGTGTGTGCGTGGGGGGGGGGATCTCACCACATAAAGTACCTTCTATGGCCTCAGACACTTGAGGCCGCCTCTCCATGTAGCATCACTGCCTGAACCTGCCACAGACTTCCAGAAGATGGGGAGCCTTCCCTTGCGCCCTCAGCTGGTCCTTTCAGACTGCAAACCTGCTCTTGGGGCCCTTGTTCAATCCCCAGCAGCCTTCCCACCAATTGGCTAAATACAGGCTGTTGTGGCTTTGACCTTTCAGCTGCCCGCCGGCAGCCCAGTCCATTTCTTCTGCTCCCTTGCTGTTCTGCTTTGTGTCAGGAGTGGAGAGGAACGGGGGAAGAAGGTGAGTGACGAGCTGGTGGGTGGACAGAGTGTGAGGAAATAAACAGCGAGGCCCCCGAAGTCATGATGCCGTCGGGTCAGAGTCTAATTTCCTCTGCTCCCCCGGGGGCGCCCACTGCTGTCCCCGGGGAGTCCCCAGGTGCTAACAGAAGCCATTCTGTGGCAAAAAGAAAAAAAAGAAAACCCAGGGTCAGGGAAGCTGGAAAGGTGCGAAACAGCAGGACTCTCCAGCTGCATGGAAACACGGGGGTGCATTTGTGCTAAATACGGTCCCCGACGGGAAGACTCGCGGAGGAGTCAGAACCGTGCCGCGTGATAGATTTCAATAAGAAGATTTATTTCTCTGAAAGGCAGAGAGACAGACAGTGACCCAAACAGCCCGGGTTGGCCAGGCTGAAGCCAGGAGCCAGGAGCTTCTTCCGAGTCGCCCACGTGGGCCATCTCTGGCTGCCGTCCCGGAGGCTTTAGCAGGGAGCTGGATCAGACGCGCTCAGTAGCCAGGACTTGAACCAGGCACTCTGATACGGGATACTGGCATCCAAGCCACAGCTTGACCAGCTGCCCCAGGAAAGTGTGAAGCTGAATATGCATCAAATATTCCTCCTCCCCCTCTAATTTGTCTAACAGCTTACCTAGCACCCACCACTGTCCTAGCAGGTGGAACGATATGTGTGTGTGCACACACACCCATAAAGCTTTAGCCAGCTCCAGAAAGCTAGTCTTTGCAATTAATCTACATATTTTTATTTTTCCAGAGATATCATTTAACATTATTTACTCATTCTTTATCTACTTCAAAGACTGAGAGAGTGAGATATCGTTCAGCCACTGGCTCACTTCCCAAACGCGTGCAACAGCCAGGGCTGAGCCAGGCTGAATACAGGGGCCAGGAACTCCAGCTGGGACTCCCCAGTGGGTGGCAGGGGTCCAGGGCGCTCGAGCCTCCCAGGATGCACTGGTAGGAAGCAGAGGAGCTGGGACTTGAACCAGCTCTCCTACATGGAATGTGGGGCGTTCCAAGAAGAGGGTTAGTACAGTGTGCACAATGTCTCCCCCAAGCTACATGCTCCCGATCACAAAACTGATTCCACGAACAGCTGTCCTTCCCCTTCTGTTCTTCTGTTCTACCCTCCTGTTTACCATTTCCTATAGGTCCCAGCCCCCAGCGCCTCTTTACGAGGTGTAAGCGGGTCTCCATCCGCACTGCAGCAAAAACCCAGTCCCAGCAACTCACCGTGTTTGCTATTTTACTGTCTGTTATTTGTGCCTGAGGCGTAGAGGGCTTTTTTTTCTGCTGCTTCTTTTTTTTTAAGGTAAGGTGAGTTACACTTCGCCCACTCGTATTTCTCTTTCAGCGGATGCATCTGAAAGAGGCGCTGAGTCACTTCAGTTTCACAGACGGACCCCACGTTGTGTCACCTCATGGTCTTGAAAGCGCTAGTAAGACACAGGCCGACTTCATAAAACACCAGTCAGCGCGACCAGGATGTTCACTGGAGTCACAAGCAGTCAGAGCTGACTTTGCTGAGTTCAGGAATATCTCCTGCAACAACGGTGTACCAACTATTAGCTTGACATGCCCAGAACGGGAAACGTAGGAAGGGTGATTAGTAGAGAGTGAGATGAGTAGAGATTAAGATTTGCGGAGACTGAGATGAGAAGCTGGAGATGAACAGAGGTGTGTGGCGGGAGGAGACTCCTTTCCCCATGGTGCTGTCTCTTGAGAGCTTTCCCAGGCTCCTTAGCACAGGAGCAGCCTCAGTGCGGGGCTGTCCACACATAGGTCCTCCACCAGCTTCCTGGCTTCCTAGATCTTTCAGATCTGCCCATGTTTCTGGGGTCTGGCAGGTCTCTGTAAAGAAAGACACCAAGAAAAAGTTGGCAGGCACAGAAGAGAGGCTCCTTCCATCAACCCCTGGCTGGACCCCACCACACACACACACACACACACACACACTCAATGTGCCTATTCTTTTCTTGTTTCCTTTGTGCATTTTTTCTTAATCTCTACTTAATGTTCCCTCCACCCGCCCCCTCACCATGGCTTTCCCAACAATTCCATCTCCCCCGCCAGCAACATACTGGGATTTACAGAGTTTGCTAGCAAAGCCCCAAATGAAATCAGATTATAACAAAGTGTCCACTTCAGAAGACAAGAGATTTAAACCCTAGTCAGCCAGACTCTCTTATTGGAAGTAACTTTTGTTAGGATGTGTTTTATGACCTTTTAGAGTTTGTAGTATTGGAATTTGCCTGGTAATAGCCCTGGAATGCGGCATCAGGTTCCTTTTTATGTTGTAAACCCAGAAAACTGAAGACCAATACAAAGAATTCGAGACGTGGCTTTGCCATTCTGCTCAGAAGACTGGCACGGACACTTGCATCGAAACATGAGCTATTGAGAATACAGCTATTTGAGAATACATTGGCTTGGATGTCCTTCGCCCACCGTAGGCTAGTTCAGAACTGTGTAGGGTAAAAGCACTTCGCATCATTTGTGAACCTGCTCAGCATGTGCTGTTTTTGCAATTCCATTTGTAGGGGAGGGGAAACTCTCCCTCTACCCTCGGAGGGTCCCCTAACTGAATCTGTTAGCAGACAGAGTCACAGGAGAAATGATGTGTAAATTTATTATGTGCACGGGGGGAGGGTACAGCACAGGAAGCGAAAGGGAATACCTCAAAATCCAACAAAGTCTAATTCTTCACAGGGAAGAAAAGGGGGGAGTGGAGTGCAGCCAGATTAGGGGAGAGTAAAGGATACAGGGCATGAGAATGGGCCTGACTTCAAGCAGAAAAAGGGCAATTTGCATAGAGCCCCTTCCTGCACTTGCTGTTCCCCAAGTGCCTTCGGATCAAGGTCGTCCCCCCACCAAAGTGGCAGGTTTTGGGGTAACGCTTCCCAAACTCGTTCATATTTGACACCTCACAGCCACTTCCATGTGCAGGGCAAGCCGCTAAGTGCTGAGTGGGAGTCCATGCAGAAACCGCTGGTCTCAGCATTCATGGCGTCTGATTCAGCAGAGTCGATGAGAGGTACACAGTCCTCACCACGCCAGGCACGCTGTGACAGAGCAAGCATTGCGGGCAACCCCAAGCCGCATGCAGGCATGCAGGAGGATAGCCAGGGTGACAGAGGCTGCGTCTAGCTGGTGTGACGAGGGCCAGCCTGGCTGCTGTGGAATTGTCCTCTCCAAGCACACTGGGTTGGAACGTGGGGACAGAGGAGGGACCCACAGCTGCCACCGCTAGAGGCCACATGCGACAATGAAAAGGGCCTAACAGGGAAAAGAAGGGAGAAGAGGAAAGAGAAGAAGAGTTACCCCAAGGACCTGTCCAGGGATCCCACAAAGAAAAGGGGAAGGCAGGACTCGGGTTCCAGCATCACTGTCGCCATCCTCTCTTGAACGGCTAGGATTGCACCAGGCGTGAGGTCTGACTCAGCCTCCGCTGCCCTCTGTTTGCAGTTGACCCGTGAGGACGCTGAGGATTCTGGACTTGTCCAAGTCTCCCAAGTGTTCTGAGTCAAGACTGGGACTGGGTCTGAGTGTGTCTGGGCCCGGCGCCAAGATTTCTCTACTGCGTCATGTTGCCGTGAAAATGGTGATTTCTGAGCAGGTTCCAAGCACCATGAGAAGGAACTGGGGGAGGGCATTCGGTGTGGGGGTTAAGATGCTGCTTTTGGAATACTCGCACCCCTTACTGGAGTAGCTGGGTTCGAGTCTGCCCTGCTTCGGACCCAGCGTCCTGCGGGTGGGCGTCCCGGCAGGCAGCAGGTGATCGCTTGGGCACTTGGGCCCCTGCCATCCAGGTGGGAGACCTGGACTGAGTCCTGCGATCCTGGCTGTGGCCCAGCCCAGCCCTGGCTGCTGCAGACCATGTGTGGGAGTAAAACATGGAGACACGATTTCTCTGTTTCTGCTTTTCTAATAAATAAGTAAGGCTTTTTTTTTTTTTTAACAAAAGGAATTGTTTTTTAGTACTGCCACGCTATTGCATCTGTTTATTTATGTATCTGGTCGGCTCCTTCTTTTATTAACTCCTCAGCAATTCCAAATTGCCTCCTGGGCATATCTTTTTTTTTTAAGATTTATTTATTTATCTGAGAGGCATAGTTACAGAGAGGCAGAAGCAGAGAGAGAGAGAGGTCTTCCATCCGCTGGTTCTCTCCCTATGTGGCTGCAATGGCCAGAGCTGCACTGATCCGAAGCCAGGAGCCAGGAGTTTCTTCCAGGTCTCCAACGTGGGTGCAGGGGCCTAAGGACTTAGGCCATCTTCTACTGCTTTCCCAGGCTATAGCAGAGAGCTGGATCAGAAGTGGAGCAGCCAGGATTCGAACCGGCGCCCATATGGGATGCTGGCACTGCAGGCGGCAGCTTTACCTGCTATGCCATAGCACCAGCCCCTCCTGGGCTTATCTTGTACCAAGCAAGTGGGGACCAGAGGTGGTCTGGATTCTGTAGCATCCACCCTTTTCATGAGAGTTGATGTACAGGAGGCCTGAGCCCCAGCCAGCTCTGCCCTCCCGGGGTGACTTCTCCTCTCCAGCTCTGCCCTCCCAGGGTGATCTCTCCTCTCCAGCTCTGCCTCCCTGGCTGTGCTCACTTCTCCTGCTGCCCAGGGAGCTGATGTCGAGGGCCAGGGATTCCTGGCACCCAGCAGGGCCCAGGCAGCCCCTCTGATGTGACAGGAGGACCTCAACAGGTCAAAGATGGCATCTCCCACCCCATCCCATCTTTGGATTCTGCTCCGCAGTGCGGGGGCAGCCGCTGGGCTGCTCCGGCCGCAGGGCCTCTGTGCAGCACATCTGGAAGCACAGAAGCATTGCACTGTCCTCCTCTCTCCCTAGACACAGCGCTCCTCCAGGCTTGGGCCCCAGCTCAGGATCCAGCCCTTCCGGCCCCTCTGTAGCAATGCGCTGAGTGAAGACACCATGCAGGGGCATTCCACAAGGCACAGGTGCGCCCTCTGAGAGGAACTGCTTGTCAGGCTGCTTGCATCTGCGCTGTAGAACCTGGGAGAAAATTCTAGCCTGGTGATAGACTTTTGTAACCACAAACACTGAGAGACTATTCTGAACCACTGAAGGAAAATGGCAGCGGGACTAAGTCAGGACATTCTAGAACATTCCAGAGGGAGAGACTCAACTTTTAGACACGTCTGAACATTTAGATTTGGATGATGTTTCTGCAGACCGTCAGGACAGCTGCAATGCAAGGCGGGGCTACATTTTCTAACAAAATGGAATAATTCGTGCTGTACCACGTGCAGTTGTTGGAAATCTAAAAACACAAAATGAATTCTAATGCATGTCACTCAACCCAGGGGAATAGAAAATAGGCCAAAGACCTCATGGCTGCTGAGTGCTGGCCTCTGCGGCATCTTCCTGTGCTGTTTTCCTTCCTCTTCCCAGCAGCTCACTGAGGTTGCCTGGTGATTCCCGTCTTGAAGACAAGGAAATTGAGTCTCAGAGGGATGAAACGATTGCCCAGCACCACTCCCATGTGGACTTCACAGGGCTGGGCCCGCCCCCTGTGGACCCCTCTGGGTTGTATTTAGCTCTAGGTGAGGCCCTCCTCCTGGATCAGTAGCTCTGCCCCGGCTTCCAGCTCTAAGGAAGCCCTAACAGGTGTGAGGGTTCTGATGCCCACAGGTTCATTTGCATTCCTCTGATGATTAGGCGGCTGGGCTTTTCTCCGCCCATCTGCCACTTCTGTGTGTTTGGAGATATGGTTAAAAGGGAGGGTTGTAAATCTTCTCACTGCTTGAGGTGACAGATATGCTAATTAGCCTGGTGTGCTCATTCCATAATGCGTATGTGTATCCAAATGGTACACGGTACCTCATAAACACCCAATGATTATTCATCAATTAATTACAAAATAAAACTTTGAAATGGTAAAAAAGGATGGAAAAGAAAAGGAAGCTCAGAATGCCTGGAGGCTGTCCCCTCTGCTGCTCCTGCGTCCCTTCCACTGCTCCTGCATCAAATACATGATTTCCTTTCCCTCATCACAGCAAACCCCCTCCCACCCTGGCTGACCACTGTCTTCCGTCCTGCAGACAGGTGGCACCTCCTCTGGTTCTGGCATCTCCAAAGCCCCTTGGTAGTCTCTCCCCACCTGGCCTCATTCTGCATAGCTGGGGCTTATCTTGTACCCTTTTCCCAGTGGCCTCTTAACCTTTGCCCAATCCTCTGGCTTCTTGTGGCTGAACCAATCGAGAAAAGACTTAGTATTTGTGGCCATTATAAAATACTACTAAGAGTGATGCAAATGCCTTTGGTGATGGTCAGGATTGTACACATCACGGGGAATTTATTTCTTGGCTCAGAAAGTGCTAACACACTGGCCCAAATGCAACAAATGAGAGAACCAGCAAAACATGAGCCAAGGTCTCCGGGCATCCCAATCCTGCCTGCAGCAAGCGGAGAGGGAAGAGCAACGGCTTCGCTCTGCTCCCCACTGGCTCATGATATTGGACCAGCCTGCGGCCTCACAGAACTGTACAGCTCTGTGCTCTGCTGTGAAGGTGTCCCCCTAAAACCAGGGTTGAAGACGTAACGCCCAGTGCAATGACAGTGGGAGACAAGGACTAATGGCAGGTGCTAGGGTGATGGGCACCGCCCTCGAGAACAGTTTGACGCTGCTGTGGCAGGAATGGGCTCCTTAGGAGAGGAAAGGCTCTGTCCTCCCTGGCTCACTCTCTGGCTCTTTTTGCCCTCTGTCACGTGACGGTGCTGCAGAATCATGGACCAACAAACTTCTCTTCGTTATAAGTGACCCATCTGTGATAATCCGTTACAGCAGCACGGAACACCCTGAGAGCAAGCGCTGTCTGCACTGTTAATGAGTCTTCCTGTCTGCGCCAACCCACTGTTGTTTCTTTGTCTTGCCGTGTTTTTGTAAACCCTCTTTTGGTGCTCCGCCTTCACTGAGTTACAGAGGACAAGCCACAGCTGAATGTGCGTACCCTGTGCGATGTGAGTTAGCCGGTGACTGCTTCCGACCAATCCAGGCCTCCTGTACAGCCACAGGCATTTTGATTCCTGATGTATTTGGGCTTCTTTCTTTCATTTAGATTCATTTATTTATTTGAAGGGCAGAGTTGGAGAAGAGAGAGGGAGAGAGGGAGAGAGAGAGAATTCTTCTATTTGCTGGTTCATTCTCTCAAAAGGCCGCAATGGCAGGGGCTGGGCCAGGCCGAAGCCAGGAGCCTGGAGCTCCATCTGGGTCTCTTGCATGGGTAGCAGGGGCCAAAGCACTTGGGCTGTCTTCCACTCCTTCCCAGGTACATTAGCAAGAAGCTGGACCAGAAGTGGAGCAGCTGGAACATGAAGCAGCGTCATATGGGATGTTGGTGTTGTAGCATTCCAGTGTCATGGGCGGTGGCTTAGCCTGCTGCACCACAATGCCAGCCCCTGGACTTATTTTTCTATTTGCTGTACTTTGCCTCTCTCTCTCTCTCTCTCTCTCCCCCTTTTATTTTTTTATCGCCACTTTTTTCCTCTACAGATTTGGAAACAGAACAAACTACTTCTTGTCCTTTACTAGTCTTAAAGCTTGAAAGCACAACACAGTGTGCTGGAAGACTTCTTCAAGGAATTGCTGGCCCGAAGTTTATGGCTGTAGCAGGTCTGAGGTGGGGCCTAGGAATCTGCGTTTCTAATTTGCTGCTTCTCTGGCGTCACACTCTAAGAATCACTGCTTCAGAGCAAAGATGCATAGCTCTGTCAGCTCAAGATCCCTTTGAGAATATTCTACTTGGTCATTCACCTCCTCTCCACAAACTACATGTACCCCTCCCCCCCAAACATTTTTGTATTCAGTCTTCGGGATTTGTGGCCCCTCTAGCCGAATTGATGGATTCTCTAGCAGTCCCCAAGGAGCTCCAGGTAGGGCCCTGTGCTTCCAGAATCAGGGTGCTACCGAGGAAACTCTGGTTTCATGTCTCTGACCACTGCAATAACACGAGCATGCAACCGCAATTCTTCGCACCACTGACTGCGCCAACGATGTGTGCTGACTTCGTTTAGCTCTGCTAAGCATCGTGTTTAGGGATGAGGATAAAATTCCAGCTTCTACCCCAGGCTCATGGGGCGAGACACGGAGATACAGACGCCCCATGAGCGCGGGCCCAGGGAGAGGGGTCTGTTAGCAGCAGTGCAATGCTGGGGAGGCTCCGCCTTCGCAAGGCCCAGGCTGTGTGGTCAGCTCAGCCTTCTCGCCAGGCGAATGACCGGCCTTTCCACGTGAATATCCTGCATTTTCTTTTCACGCTGTGAGCACAAATCAACGAGGCACTTAAGCAACAGCCTTGTGGAATGTTCCCTGGAGAGAGCGATGTGGAAACCCAGAGCCCACTGCTGAGCGCTGCTGCACCTGGGGAACACAGTGGGAGGCGGGAGACACGGACAGAGGCGTGAGAATGCTGTGCCAGAGCACCCGAGGTGAAAAGCCAGGGCAAAGTATTAGGATTTTTTTTTTTCTGTAAAGAAAGTGAGCTGCTAATATGGGATTTGGGGGGGGCCAAGGGTGGGGAGGAAGGTTGAGGTTTATTGCTCTGTAGTCACTGTCTTGAAATGCTTAGGAGTTGTAGCTTTGACCTTTTGATCTGGAAGTGAAGGGTTATGGGACAATGGAGCACAGTGTGCGGGCCACCTCTTGCTGTCGTTGACTCCATGGAGGCATTCTTAGCCACCTGTTCCTTGTCCCCAGAGCCCAAGTTTCCCCTCCTTGTTCCTGCTCCACTGCAGCTCCTGCCCAGGAGGGAGAGCACTGGGTCACGTGGAAGGCAGGGTGTTCCAGCATCAGTCTCCACGCCCACTGGGGATCTGGGTGCACACACGTGCAAGGTTGATATCCTAGTGAGTCTTGTGCTATCACAGAATGCCTGAGACTCGGTGATCTGTAAGGATAGAGATTAATTCCACTCTTGGAAGTTCAAGATCAAGGTGCTGGCATTTGGGGTGGGTCTTCTACACACATGCAGAAGGCAGATGGGCAGGGGCGAGTGAATCCACCTCTACAAGTCCTTTCAGTGGGGACATGTATCATGTGTGACAGAGCTCGCACAATCTAAATGTCTCCAAACACTACTGTGTTAGGGGTTAAGTCTCCAACACAAGAATTTTGGAAGGGTCACAAACCAACCAGATCACAGCAGTAGGACACACACCTTGTGGCATCTCAGGCAGAGCAAAGCCGTGGCCAGCAGCCACATCGCACACTCAGTGGGCAACTCGATGTAGGGGTCCTGCCCCTTGGAGGCTGGCCACCAGCCATGGGTTTGGGCAGTAGGGCCCGTGGGAAGGAAGATGGTGGTCTCAGCTCCAAGCTGGGACCCTGTATTTGCATCTGGAGCTGGGCCCTGGCAGTTCTGAAAGCAGTCTGGGTCCTTGGGGAAAGGTAGGGAGCAGATCCCAGATTCCCAGCTGCGTGGGACTTCTGCACACCGAGAAATGCATGCACATCGTGCTATGCCACTGAGTTTCCGGGTGATCATTACCACGGCACAGTCCACGCCACCCTGCCTAGGGCCTCTCCCCACCCACCCCCTGCCCTAGCCTGCACTCAGCAGCTGCTACCTTGTCACTGAGCCAGTGGAGGCCACCAGGGGCAAAAACCCCTCAGCACTGTTTGCAAACACCTGGGCCCCTTGCTACTTTTGAGGCCACTCTTGCTTCCTCTGCAGCTGTACTCACCACCCCCGGAGCTCGCACTTCCTGGGTGCTCTGACATCCTGTGTGCATGTCTCCCGGTGGCGTCTTCTCTCCTTGTGCAACCTCTCTTCATTGGCTAATTGTTCTTTGCAGCTAAACCTCAGCTTTCTTCCATCTTAAAAAAAAAAAAGACATTTTTGAATTATATGAGAGGTCTTCATAAAGTTCACGGAAAATGTATAACATCAAAAAAAAACTAGGTGTGAATTTCAAAAAACTGTTGGTATCATGATAAGCTTGCATTTTTATGCCATTTTTCTGTGAACTTTTTGAAATCCTATCATACATCCCTTCATAATTAAGCTGTTTGATTACTCGGTATCTGGGCTGTTTATCCATTTTTTTCTTTTTTTTAAAGATTTATTTATTTTACTTAAAAGAGTTACATAACCAGAGAAGGTGATGCAGAGAGAGTGAGAGAGAGAGAGGGAGAGGGAGAGAGAGAGGGAGAAAGGTCTTCCATCCACTGGTTCACTCCCCAGATGGCTGCAATGGCTGGAGCTGCACCAATCTGAAGCCAGGAGCCAGGAGCTTCTTCCGGGTCTCCCACGCAGGTGCAGGGACCCAAGGACTTAGGCCATCCTCTTCTGTTTTCCCAGGCTACAGCAGAGAGCTGGATCGGAAGTGGAGCAGCCAGGACTAGAACCGGCAGCCATATGGGATGCCTGCACTGCAGGCGGTGGCTTTACCTGCTACGCCACAGCGCTGGACCCATGGACTGTTTATTCATTATACATTCATTGAGTTTGCATATTCATGCCAGTTCCTCTCCTGGCTGCAGCAACAACAAAAATGAATAGGATGTGGTCCCTATCTTAGTGGACTGGGGGATGGGATAGGGACAAAAGGACAAGCAGGTGACAATGGTGACCAGGGAGTGCCATGCTGGACATGAACACAGGGTGCCCACGGCGCTAAAGGGACACAGGGGGCCTTGGGATCTCAACCTGAGCAGAGCAGAGTGGCTCTGGGAGGGGTGCGGGGATGGTGGAGACCAGAGAGGAATTCAGGGGCCCTGTCCCGGCGGGCTTCAGGGGTCACACCCAGGAGTCTGGGCTTTCCCGAAGGTTCTAGAAAGTCACTTAGAAAACACACTTGTGTGTTTGAAAGATTTCCATGTTCTGTTGGAAGTTGAGGCAGCAAATCTTGGGCAGGCTGAATTAAAGGCAATGTGGAATTAAAAGCGATGTGTGAATTAAAGGCGAGAGGAATCATGAGATCCCGTGGGAAGAGAATGAGTCAGATACACACTGTGAGGTGATGCCCCCAGCTTCCAAAGAGGCCTTTGCCAAGGTGGGGGGCAGGGGAGCATCGGGAGGAATCAGAGTTTTTGGAGAAGATACCAACTTCTCTTTCTTACTCACTCTGATCCTCCTCAATCCACCGGACTTGCTCTTGTTAAGATCCCCAGTGACTGCCAAGGTGACAAGCCCAGTGACAAGACCAAGTTTGCATTTTGGCCACTCAGAGACATCCTGAAATACTAGATCTCAGGTGCCTTCTCATCAGTCCTCCTGGGTGATTGTCAATCCCATCCCAAACCAAATGGGTCATCTTTTCCCTGAATGCTGTTGCTCTTTACTCCCTTGGGACAAAGTGCCCACTCTGATGTTACAGTGAAGCCAGAGCTCTCCAAGTCCCTGCCACTTGCCTCCTATGTTTCATCAGATGTAAACCCCTTTAGAGTTTATCTCGCACATACTTCTCAAGTCTGAACCCAGCTGTCCCCTTGCAAAGCCATTATCTGGCGCAGGCCCTCACCATTTCTCAGGAGTGTGACTGTGGTTGGATCCCTGCCACACACACACACACACACACACACACCATAAACACACGCCTTGCTCTCTGCCCTTTCTGACTGCCACCTCTTCCTGAGGGGACCCCTCCACTCTCACGCTCCTTCCCACACCCTGGTACGTGGAATCCTCTCTCCTCCCTCCACTCTGCAGCTTCCTATTGTTCCAGCCTGAAAAATGTTTCCTTCATTTCTTCATCTAGAATCTAAACTCTGGTTCATGTCTCTTTGTTCTCCCAAGTTTGGCTCAAGTCTTGACTCCTGGGAAGTCTTCTCTGAGACCTGATAGGAAATTTCCTATCCTCTGGTTCACTTCCCACAATAGCCAGGGTTGGGCCAGGCCAAAGCCAGGAGTCAGGAACTCAGTCCAAGTCTCCCATGTGAGTGGCAGGTACCCAACTCCTTGAGCCATCGCCTGCTAGCTCCCACAGCTTGCATTAGCAGGAAGCTAGAACCTGGAGCAGCACCAGGACTTATACCCAAACACTCTGATACGAGCTGCAAGTGTCCCAGTCAGCATCCTAACCACTGGGCCAAATGCTTGCCCCTACTGGGAACATTTTAATAAAACATCTGATCAGGGTTAAAGCTTAGCCCATCTGATCATCTCCAAGGTTTCTTCAGTTAGCAGTTGTGAAATTGCTTCCCTTGTGTAACTGCTCAGGCTCAGGTGGCCTTCTCCTGAAATGGTGTCTGCTGCTTGGGTAGGGGATACGGGGCTTACCTGACCCTTGGCGGTGGAGGAGGAGAGGGCTCTGAGTGCCTGCAGGCTCTGGGATATCCACCTGTGGTGTCTGCTGGCCTCTGGTGTTCAGTTGTCCATCCACCTGCTTCCTGCCTGCCCTGAGGCTGGCAAGCTCAGAGCCTGCCCTTTTGCCATGGGCAATGCTCCAGATGGTACCCAGGGTTGATTGACTGCACAACCTCCCATTCACTGCAGACACCTTGGCATCCTTGGTAGGAAAATCAGTGACCTTGGTTCCAAAGACTCAGCTGTCAAGCTTCTTATCACTGCTCCCCGTGCTGTTTCTTACTCTCTGTCTCCTGGAAATCTCCCAATAAGGATCGTTTTGTCCCGCCTTGTCCTCTGAAGGAGGGGACTACTGTATTTGACTATGTCAAATACACTGGGCTACTGCCCTCCTCCAGGCCTGCTGCTCTGTGGGCCTCCGAGCATCAGAACGTCAACCCATCAGCACTCTGCTCTCCTCCTCCCATGTGTTCTGTGTAAGCAACACCAAAAGCTTCCTGTTCCCAGGGGAAAGGATTTCACTGAACATTCCCAATAAAATCTAGTAAATAGAGAGGTGACTCACTTCATTGAGTCTTCTGCCCAAAGGGTCCATGAATAGCCTCTTTTGTGAGTCATCAAGTTAAGACTAGAACCTTCTAAAAGTGGATTTCACAAAGGCAAAGGACAGATGTGTCAAGCACTTCCTCTTCCTTTAGAACATGTGCTGGAGGAAGTGCATGGCCTTGGTACGCCTGGCGCTGTCATCCTGCATTCGCTCTTGGGTCCTTGGCTGTGCCTTCATCCTGGCGTTGCTGATCCAGCTGTGGCTCCAAGACAGCTCCATGCAGAAGCTCAGAAGAATGAGGCCAGGAGCAAGAGTGTGTGATTGCAAGTGTGGAGAATGGGAGAGGACCATACCACACATGGAAGGCATGGTAGCAAAGGGGTGAAGTGAGGGGGAGGGTTTGGGGGGCATCAGTTCCCTTTTGACTCTTGGCCTTCTGCGTAGGCTCAGAGCATCCCCTCCGGTCCCGCCTCCCCACCGTGTCCCACCTGCAGGCTACACGAGCACCTGGTGGTTCTGATTGATCTGGGCACAGACGAGAGGAAGCCTGAAGGCAGCAGGGAACTTTGGAGATACTCATGTGTATGCGGAATCCCACCCAACTCTGGATTGGGTGTTGGGTTTGAATCCAGAGATCGTTTGTGCTAAATGTAGGCGTGTCAGAATGCTGGAGTTAGAAAGAAAGGGGGAGAGAGAGGGAGAGAGAGAAAGAAGAAGGGAGGGGGGAGGAGAGAGTGTGAGAGAGAAGGAGGGAGAGAGAGGGAAAGAGAGAGAGAAGGAAGGAAGGAGAGAGAGAGAAGGGAGAGAAAGAGGGAGAGAGAAAGGGAGAGGGAGAGAGAGAAGGAGGGAGGGAGAGAGAGAAGGAGGGAGAGAGAAAAATAAAGGGAGAGGGGGAGGGAGAGAGGGAGAGAGGGAGAGAGGGAGGGAGGGAGAGAGGGAGAGAGGGAGAGGGAGGGAGGGAGGGAGGGAGGGAACATACATGGCTCAAGATATGAAGACAGAAGAATATACTGGAACTGAGAGAAATGAGGCAGGGCCCAGGAGAAGAACGGAAGTGCCATAGAGCTTGCTGCGAGATACGGAAGACAACCTGGTGAACAGCCCTCAAAGCCGCCTGACTATCCAGACAAGTGCAGGGCCAGCCTTGGGGACAGGCAAACTGCATTTGCCCAGGGCCCCTGCTCACAGGGCCTGTGTTAGTTTAATGCTTTGCTGTTAGTTTTGTGGCATTCTTAGGACTTTTTGAACAAGGGTCTGTCATCTTCCTTTTGTACCGAGTCTCGCGAGTAAGGCGGCTGTCCTGGGTGAAGGCATTTGGGGTCTGGTCTGCACATACTAGAGCAAATAGCCCTCGACCATTGCCTTGGTAGCAAGGGAAGGGAAGTTCTTCCGCTGCTGCCATGTAAGGAATTTCAAAGGCATGCACACACATTCACTTAGCAAAACGGATGCTTGAGATTTACACGGTGTCAAGGGTCTCCTGGAGAGGAGGGTGACTATGCTGGTGGAAGATGCCCTCCTTAGCCTGAATTGGAGCAGGCTTATTCTGAAGAATTCTCAGTAGGTTCATCCTCGGCAGAAAAATCCCCCCGGGCTGGTGCTGTGGCACTGCAGTTTAAGCTGTCTCCTGTGATGCTGGCATCCCATATGGCCACTGGTTCAAGTCTCCGTTGCTCTACTTCTGATCCAGCTCTCTGCTATGTCCTGGGAAAGCAGTAGAAGATGGCCCAAGTGCTTGGGCCCCTGCACCCATGTGGGAGACCTGGAAGAAGCTCCTGGTTCCTGCCTCTGGACTGCCTTAGCCCTGGCTGTTGAGGCCATCTGTGGAGTGAACCAGTGGATGGAAGATATTTCTCTCTCTCTCTCTCTGGCTTTCAAATAAATAAATAAATATATAAATCTTTTTTTAAAAAAATCTCTCAAAGCAATATTAATAAGAATGCTCTTTAGGTGTTCAGTTTTATAATAGGTGAA